TGGCATATTTTTGCAATATTGGTATTTCGTAAACAGTTACAGACTTTTTTTTTTTTTTTTTTTTTTTGAGAAGCTGGACCCAGTGGCTCATGTCTGTAATCCCAGCGCTTTGGGAGGCCAAGGTGGGAGTATTGCTTGAGGCCAGGTATTGGACACCAGTCTGGGCAACGAAGTGAAACACTGTCTCTATATAAGAAAAAAATTCCCGAGGCATGGTGGCACACGCCTAGCAACTTGGGAGGCTGAAGTGGGAGAACTGCTTGAGACCAGGAGTTCAAGGCTGCAGTGAACTATGATCACACTACTGCACTCGAGCCTGGGTGGCAGAACAAGAACTTGTCTCCAAAAAAGAAAAAGAAAAGGAAAAGGGAAAAAAAGAAAAAGAGACAAATAAACTGGACCCTGGGGTCCAGTCGATAACTAAGGCTGAGGTTGTGACACCCACCTAGGAAGTAACCATGAAATCTTTCCAACGTTGTCACCTTTTTTTTTTTTTTTTTTTTTCTTTGAGACAGGGTCTGCTCTGTTACAGCCCAGGCTGGAGTCTGGAGGACAGTGGCACATTCATGGCTCACTGCAGCCTCAACCTCCTGGGCTCAACCGATCCTCCCACCTCAACCTCCCGAGTAGCTGGGACCTCCAGCTACTCCTAACCTCCCAAGTAGCATGCCACCACGCCTGGTTAATTTTTTGTTTTTGTAGAGATGGGGTCTTGCTATGTTGCCTGGGTTGGTCTGATTGTTTCTTAATAAAATTTAAAATTTTACTCAGAAGTTTTCTTTTGTCTCTGGCTCCCAGTAAGAAAGTAGTTTCTAGTCTCAGTTTTGCTTCTTAACTGATTCTGGTCTGTTGTCTTTCCAGTCCAAATTTCCTCAATTTATCTAATGGTCAAAAGGGCTGAAGAGGAAAAGGAATTTGTTTGTTTTCTTAGAAGATAAATATGCTTTTCTCAAATTAAGATCATTTATATGAAATTATCAGCTTTAAGGAATGAGTAAAATTCTGAGAAGCCCCAAGGGGGAAAAAAAAACCTTTTTAATTCTAGCAGCCCTAGTCTATTGGAAAACCTCTAAGCAATTCACATATACTTAAAAGTAATGATTTTCAGCAGTGGCTCATGCCTGTAATCCCAGCACTTTGGGAGGCCAAGGCAGGTGGATCACCTGAGGTCAGGAGTTCGAGACCAGCCTGGCCAACATGGTGAAACCCTGTCTCTACTAAAAAATACAAAAATTAGCTGGGCATGGTGGCAGGCACCTTAATCCCAGCTACTTGGGAGGCAGAGGCAGGAGAATCGTTTGAACCTGGGAGGTGGAGGTTGCAGTGAGCCAAGATGAAGCCACTGCACTCAAACCTGGGGGACGAGAGCGAGACTCCTCTCAAAAAAAAAAAAAAGTAACTACTTTCTAAATGTATGTACAAAAATGTATAAAGACAACTTACTAAATTATTTCTGTAAATATAATACAGAAATAGGGTTTAATAATACAAAAATTTAATAATACAAAAATTAGGGTAATTTAAATCTTGCCTCCCCCCACCCACCACCCCCTGCTTCAAATAGCATGGGTTTTGGCCAGGCACAGTGGCTCACGCCTGTAATCCCAACACTTTGGGAGGCCGAGGTGGGTGGATCATGAGGTCAGGAGTTTGAGGCCAGCCTGGCTAACATAGTGAAAACCCATCTCTACTAAAAATACAGAAATTAGCTGGGCATGGTGACGGGTGCCTGTAATCCCAGCTACTCGGAAGGGTGAGGCAGGAGAATCACTTGAACCCGGGAGGCAGAGGTTGCGGTGAGCCGAGATCGCGCCATTGCATTCCAACCTGGGTGACAAGAGCAAGACTCCATCTCAAAAAAAAAAAAAAAAAAAAAAAAAAAAGCGTTTTTTTTCCCCCCCCACCCACCACCCTGCCTGGGCCAGCATGGGTTTTGGGCTAGGCACAGTGGCTCACGCCTGTATCCCAACACTTTGGGAGTTTGAAAGATTTTAAGAGTTGAAGGTTTGAAAGAGCTGGCTGGATGGGGTGGTAATGCCTGATAAATGAGGAAACAAAGCCGGCGGTGAGGTGCCGTAATTCACCTGCGAGTTGCGCAACCCACCTGGGCTGCTGCAGAATGAACCTAGACTGTTGTTTATTATGATTACAACTTAGGTGACAGTGATGGGGATCCCACCAAAGTGTTTCTTATCAAAAAAAAAAAAAAAAAAAAAAAAAAAAGCGTTTTTTTTTCCCCTAATGTATTAGGGAAGAAATTAAAGAAATGTATAACAATTTTATGAATTATTACAAATTAAGGTAAATTGAATTTTTTTTTTTTTTTTTTGAGACAGAGTCTTACTCTGTTGCCCAGGCTGAAGTGCTGAGGCGTGATCTTGGCTCACTGCAACCTCTGCCTCCTAGGCAGCCTCAACCTCCCAGGCTCAAGCAATCCTCCAATGCAGTCGTCCAAGTAGCTGGGACTACAGGTGTGTGCCACAATGCCTGGCTAATTTTTTAATTGATTATTTATTTAAGACAAAGCCTTACTGTTGCCCAGGCTGGAGTGAGGTGGCACATTCATGGCTCACTGCAGCCTTGACCTCCAGAGCTCAAGTGATCCTCCCACCACAGCCTCCCAAGTAGCTGAAACTACAGGGACACACCACAACACCCAGCTCATTTTTTTTTTCTTTTTTTCTTTTTCTTTTTCTTTTTTTTTTTTTTTTTTGAGATAGAGTCTCACTCTGTCATCCAGGCTGGAGTGCAGTGGTGTGATCTCAGCTCACTGCAACCTCCACCTCCCGGGTTCAAGGGATTCTCCTGTCTCGGCCTCCCGAGTAACTGGGACTACAGACCTGTGCCACCACGCCCGGCTAGTTTTTTGTATTTTCAGTAGAGAGGGGATTTCACTGTGTTAGCCAAGATGGTCTCAATCTCCTGACCTCAGGTGGTCCACCCGCCTCGGCCTCCCAAAGTGCTGGGATTACAGGCGTGAGCCACTGCACCCAGCCAATTTTTTTATTTTTTGTAGAGACGGGTTCTTGCCATGTTGCTCAGGCTAGTCTCAAGCTCCTAGGTTCAAGCGATCCTCCTGCCTCAACCTCCCATAGTGCTTGGATTATAGGTATGAGCCATCATGCCTGGCCTTTTGATTAAATTTTAAAATCAGACTTTTAATTGTGGTTAGTATTCAACTGCAAGAGATTTTATATTTTTCTTTTCTATTAAAAGAAACAGTCATTCTCTTTTTCTACCCAGTATTAATACCAGGGAAAGAAAAGCCACTGGACTTAGAAAAATTTGGGTTTTCTTTTTCTTTTGAAATCAAATGTTTTATTTTTATGGATTTAGGGGTATAAGTGCAGTTGTGTTACATGAATGTATTGTGTAGTGGTGAAATCTGGACATTTAGTGTACCCATGGGCAATTTGTTTTAACATACGAGGGAACAGTACTATTTTATAAGTGTTATAAATAGGATTTCCCCTTATTTATTCTTTTTTTTTTTTTTTTTTTTTTTCCCAACAGAGTCTCACTGTTGCCCAGGCTGCAGTGCAGTGGCGCAATCTCAGCTCATTGCAACCTCTACCTCCCAGGTTCAAGTGATTCTCCTACCTCATCCTCCCAAGTAGCTGGGATTATAGGCACGTGCCACCCATGCTCGGCTAATTTTTGTATTTTTAGTAGAGACAGGTTTTTGCCATGTTGGCCAGGCTGGTCTCGAACTCCTGACCTCAGGTGATCCTCCCACCTCGACCTCCCAAAGTGCTGAGATTACAGGCGTGAGCCACTGTGCCCAGCCCCTCATTTATTATTTATGCTTATTAGCTATCTTTTAATATCTGTTCTCACATTAAAAACAGGTTTCGGGAATGAGAAGAGGGGCCTAAAAAGCTTAAGTTTATTAGAGACTTGAACTACAGTATTCCACACTTAAAAGTCTTCTAAGATTTAGGGGGTAGATCTGGTGTAAGATTTGAACAGAACTGAAACACCCAGAGCTAATCTTTACACCTAGGAAAACAGAATGTATACAAGTGAGGGCTGTAACTAAAATAAAACTCCCAAGCTTTATTCAACAGAAATCAACACAGAAAGCTCAAAGAGCGCCGTAGCACAATTACTGAAAGGAAGATGAAGATGGGTTGGAATTGAGAAGGATTAATCAATTGAAAGTAGAAAGCTAGATTAAGGTCAGGAGGCATTTGCTTATGCATTAGTAACTGTTAGTAACTGTGTTATTTTGCTCAAATTACTACATGGTCGTATTACTATACGTGACAATAATTTGACCTTGACTGGGAGGCAAATATGATGATATTGTGGTGTTTTCTTCCTGGTATTGTTTTTTTTTGTGGTTTTTGGGAAAACATACACTTAGTCTAACAGTGATTTTGAACATGGACTTGAACCAGACTCCCTGTGTTTAATTAAGTCCTGACTTCACTACTTAATGCTTGTGTGTCTTTAGAGAAGATGCTTAACCTCTCTTCACCTCAGTTGCCTCATCTGTAAAATGTGATAATAGTATCATGGTTAACAGCAGGATACCCACCTCTCAGGGTTGGAAGGATTCAGTGAGTTCATGCCCCTAAAGCACTCAAACAGTGTGTCTCATTCAGTAACAACTGTAAGGATCAGAATTTTGCAACTCTGGCAGAGGGAACAGTACTCAAAAAATAGAAATAACAACAAAAAAAGCAGTTATGTTTATCAAGCGTTAGCCTTTTTTTTTTTTTTTCACAGATTGGTAGGAGTGGGCATCCTATTTTTTCTTTTGAGACAGGGTCTGGCTCTGTTGCCCAGGCTGGAGTGCAGTGGTGCAATCACTGCTCACTGCGGCAGCAGTCCTGTCACCTCAGCCTCCTGAGTAGCTGGGACCACAGGTGCATCATGTTGCCCCATGTGCTATTTTTTAAAATTTTTTATTTTATAGAGACAGGGTCTCACTATGTTGCCCAGGCTGGTCTCCAACTCCTGGGCTCAAGTAATTCTTCTGCCTTGGCCTCCCAAAGTGTTGGGATTACAGGTATGAACCACCACGCCCAGCCCAATTTTTTTTTTCACTAAACTGCCCTTTCTTACACAAAACTAAAAATGATATCCTTTAAAGCATATAATCTTGCTACAGCTTTTACTATGAAGAGTTCTCCTTCACATGGTTACGATTTTTAATTTGCTAGGATCCTGATTTTCTCTGTCTCAGTTTATAGTGGCCCTGCTGCTTTCCACAGCATCCAGATGCCAGGATGACTATACAATAGCCAAGGAAGATGACAGAGGTGCAAAGGGCCACAGAAACCAGCCAAGCCTTTGAAGTCACAGATACCTCATCTTCATTCACAGATGTGTGGTTTCTGCTGTTGTATCCTTTGGTTTTATTCAGTAATTGTTTACTACTGTTGAGTAGGGGTGGAATAGGCATATGAGAAAGTTTTGTGTCTATGGGTACAAAGAAAGGAGAAATAGTCTTATTATCTGGATTGCTGATGAAATCAGTATTTGGTGACACCATATTTATCTTTGTGGTAATGGAGTCATTCAGGGAAGTAAATCTTGCCCAAAAATCTGTGGTTAATTCCTTGGAATAACTGGTACTGTTTGTGTTTACAACCAAATCTTGATGCGTGGTTGAGGATGGAGCCTCTGTGGATGGCAGCATACCATTTATCATGGTGGTTTGTTTATCTAAATTCATAGCTTTTAGAATCCTTAGTCTGTCCCATCTCTTGGATGAAGAACGAGTATTGAGATATGTGGAAGATTGTTCAAAAACCAGCAAATCTGGATCTATACCTGAAAAATAAATAAGGCATCATTCATTTTATTTTTACTTTCAAAACAAAAACCTTAAAGCACAGTTTGGAAAAGGGATTGGCTTTTGCTACTATGAGTTACTGAACAAAGCTAAATTCACGTTCTACTACCACATTCTTCTCAAAGGTTTCCAAACATACTGGCTACATTTGAATTTATCTTTACTTTCTAAAACACTTTTTTTTAAATGAACAAATTTGACTACACCCAAGGAGAAGGCTTTGTGTCTGTCAGGGTTTTTGTACAATAGTGAGTGTTACTTTGAGAGCTGTAGAAACAGTAACCAGTTGAGATACAATATAGCGTTTATTATTTATTTATTTATTTTTTGAGACAGGGTCTTGCCCTATCACCCAGGCTGGAGTGCAGTGGTGCGGTCTCAGCTCACTGTAACCTCTGCCTCCCGGGCTCAAGCAATCCTCTCACCTCAGTCTCCTGAGTAACTAGGATTACAGGCATGCGCCACCATGCCCAGCTAATTTTTGTTTTTTTTGTTTTTTGTTTTTTCTTGTAGAGATGGAGTTTCGCCATGTTGCCCAGACTGGTCTTGAACTTGTTAGCTAAAGCGATCCGCCCGCCTCGGCCTCCCAAAGTACTGGGATTATAGGCAGGAGCCACCGCACCCAGCAATATAGTGTCTTTAAATCAAGTTAAGCAAAATAGGGCCTGAGAAGGGTGACTGTAAGCAAAATCATGAGCAAAGCCTTAAGTCTCATCCCTTTTTGACCTGTGAGGGTCTTGCTTTGTCTTTAGTATTTTCTCCCTTATATACTAACTCCTTTCCCTGTAACTTCGGACATGAACAAATACTGCTTTGTCTTTATAGGAGAAGAGAAAAAACTGTCCACATCTTTCCAGTGGTCCCTGCTGGTGACTTCTCTCTGTCTCTCTCTCTCTCCCCCTCCCTTCCTCTTTCCGCGCGCAAACATGCCAGCATCCATTGCTTCTGAGGTAGTCAATTGTTCCCATACTTCCTGATCACTCACGTCACCTTGCTTTGGCTTTTCTATTGTCCTTGATGCTACCAGCCACCTTCTTGAATTCTTCTCCCATGACTCCCTGGACCTTGGACCCCCTTGGCATTTTCCCCCACAGCCTCTCATTTTCACTTTCTTTTGCTGGTTCTCTTGTACAATCTCATTGCTTGTGTGGTTTCCATAGTCTTCAGTCCTTGGTTTTCAGATGTATTTTCTCTTCACCGCCCCCTCCCCTCCAACACACACAAAGAGATCATGCTCAATTGGCACCACTACATCAATGGCATTGAAACCCATATCACTATGTTTTCCCCTCTTTCTTAAGTTCTGATCTCATTTATCCAGTCTTCTATTGGAGGTTTCCATCTGGACCTCTTACATCATCTCTTAATATGCCCAAAGCCAAAATTATTACCTCTGCCTCCTTGTCTCTTTCATTGGCATCATCATCCTTCCATCACCCACACTGAAATCTGCACTGTAAGCTGATTTTTTTTTTAAAGAGACAGCTGTCAGTCAGGCTGGAGTGTGATCGTGCAATCATAACTAACTGTAACCTTGAGCTCTTGGGCTCAAGTGATCCTTCCACCTCAGCCTCATGAGTACCTGGGGCCAACCACAGGCACACACCACCTTGCCTGGCTAATTTTTTTTTTGTAGAGACGGGGGTCTCTCTGTGTTGTTCAGGTTGGTCTCGAATTCCTGGGCTCAAGCGATCCTCCTGCCTCAGCCTCCCAAAGTGCTGGAATTACCGGCGTGAGTCACTGCACTTGGGCCTGCAAAGTGATTTTGACTCCACTCACTTCATTTCCTTTCATTAAAAAGGTGACTAAGTCCTTATTCAACCTTCCCAATGCTCTGGTAATTATCCCTTCTCTTCATTTCAACTACAGTCACTTTGTGCAGACTTTCATGCTTCCCTGACTAGATTTTCTAATCTGTACTGCATGTAAGTGTGGACTAGGACAAATAGATATCACTTCCCATGGTTTTTCATTAAATGCCCTTGTTGTCTGTTTCAGACAAAGTCAAACCAAAACTCTACTCTGTCCATGGCCCTTATGATACCTGTCCCTACCTTATCTTAGCCATATTTTCATTGCAACTACATGTCTCCTTATTGTGTCCAGACCTGTTTGCTTACTGTCTTGTGGCATAATATAGAACTCATCTTCTTCTGCCTGCCTTCTTCCATGAGCCTCCTCTGAATACACTCACTTTCATTGGCCTCCCCTTCTTTGAAACTTTGCACTGAGACGGCCTCACACATTTCTGTATTTAGTTGTGTCTTAACACTAATTGTAAGATCTGTCACATCTACTAGATTATAAAGGAGATTGAGCGCAGAGATATGGCTGCGATCTTCCACAGTGTTGATTCTAGCCTGGAGCATCAGGTGTTCAATACATACAAATTGATAAGAAATTTATCTCCTTTGCATTTTGATGGCAAAAATCTCTTCTTTTATGGTCACTAATTTACACCCTGAGATTACATAAATGGGCACAAAACACTTATATTTCTAAAATAAAATACACCGGTTATCTTGGGACCAATGATATGCTAATGTATGTTAGCACACGGTGGTAAGTTTCCCTGAACGTGACATCCCTCTTTTCAGAATCCTGTATGCAGTGTCCATTGGCCCTCAGAACTGCCATTTAGCATGTTCTTTATCTCCTAGTGGCACCCTCAGCCACTGCAGGAGAAACGCTTCTTTTTTTTTTTTTTTTTTTTTTGAGATGGAGTCTTGGTCTGTCACCGGGCTGGAGTGCAGTGGTACGATCTCAGCTCCCCGCAACCTCCATCTCCCAGGTTCAAGTGATTCTCCTGCCTCAGTCTCCTGAGTAGCTGTGACTACAGGCACATGCCACCACGCACAGCTAATTTTTGTATTTTTGGTAGAGACAGGGTTTCACCATGTTGGCTGGGATGGTCTCGATCTCTTGACCTCGTGATCTGCCCGCCTTGGCCTCCCAAAGTGCTGGGATAACAGGCATGAGCCACCGTGCCCGGCCGAGAAACACTTCCTTTAGCTTTGCTAAGAGTTCTTGAGATTCATGAAATACAGTGGGTAAGCTCTTGTTCAATCATGTATGATTTATAATCTGGAGTGAACTAATTGCTGAACACATTAAACTGAAGAGAATTTTCTTTCAGTTTTCTGTCCTAGATATGCAAAATTTTTCCAAAGTTCACTAGAAATTAATGATTCTAGGGCCTCACATATGACTGTTGCCAGCCAGTTTCTCAGCTATATGCCTCTATTAGAGTATTGCCAGCATTCTTTAAAAGTCTTGAAATATGTAATCATTACCATCTGTTATGTTGTACAAAATGGCACTGGTTCCAGGCTCTAATATGCAGCTCTCCAGTGTTGGGCAGTGAACATGGAGGCAGTTGATATTGTCATGAATAGGATCGTGGTAGAAGACAGCCAGGTTACAGGAAACTGAAAGGGAAACAAGCAAAGTACATCTGTGGATGGTCTCAATTTCCACCAGTTTCATGAACTCTGAGTAACTTATATTTGTTTCAGGAATACTGGATTAACAGTATTTTTCAGGGCAATATGCAGACATTTTGCAGAAAATTTATAAACTATTGTAACTGCTTCTGTGAATATGGAAAATACTTTAAAAAAAATTTTTTTTTGAGACAGGGTCTCACTCTGTCACTCAGGCTGGAGTGCAGTGTTGCGATTACAGCTCACTGCAGCCTAGACCTTCCGGGTCCAAGCAATCCATCCACCTCAGTCTCCCAAATAGCTGAGACTAGAGGCCCACATCACCATGCTGGGCTAATTTTTGTATTTTTTGTAGAGGCAGAGTTTCACCATGTTGCCCGGACTTGTCTCAAACTCCGGAGCTCAAGCCATCTGCCTCCCGCAAAGCTGGAATTACAGGGAGGAGCCATCCCACCCAGCCAGAAAATGCCTTTTTAAAGAAAATACAGATTTTCTCAAAGTAATCTTTCATACTTTCCATCCCACACAGGATATTTGGAATCATTCATTATTTCCTGGTCCCAGAATTTTGTGTTCATGAAAAGTTAGATTAGCTACAAAAACCTCTGGGGGCCCGGCATGGTGGCTCATCCCTGTAACCCCACCACTTTGGGAGGCCGAGTGGGGCAGATCACCTGAGGTCAGGAGTTCGAGACCAGCCTGACCAACATGGAGAAACCCCGTCTCTACTCAAAACACAAAATTAGCCAGGCATGGTGGTGCATTCCTGTAATCCCAGTTACTCGGGAGGCTGAGGCAGGAGAATTGCTTGAACCCGGGAGGTGGAGGTTTCAGTGAGCCGAGATCGCGCCATTGCATTCCAGCCTGGGCAACAAGAGCGAAACTCTGTCTCAAAAACAAAACAAAACAAAACAAAAAACCCTGGGCATTTACACATCAGGTTTCTAGGCACAGTGTCCTCTCAGAATGCTAAGGGGCTGGGGGTCACCAGAGAAAGAAATAGGAAAATACAAGGACAAATGCTGTAAAGAAGAAGAGGGAGTAGTGGGAAGGGCAAAAGAGTAATACCTGAACGGCCCAGATGGTGGAAAGGCCACAGGCTGTGTAAGCATCACCTTGCCCTGACTGCAGGTGTGCACTTTCCCCAGATACAAAACCACATCCAAGGAAAAGCCTAATCAGTGTCATTTAAAGAGGCAGGGACTGGACAGGCAGGGATGCTAGCAGGTAGAATTCTAGCAGGTGGGGACACACTACTGGCTCATGCTGTCTTTCCTTCTCTAAGTAAATTTGCTTTTAAAACATGCTCTCTGGCCAGGCGCAGTGGCTCACACCTGTAATCTCAGCGCTTTGGGAGGCCAAGGTGGTGGATCACTTGAGGTCAGGAGTTCGAGACCAGCCTGGCCAACATGACAAAACATCGTCTCTACTAAAAAAAACAATGACAAATATTGGCTGGGCGTGGTGGCACACACCTGTAACCCCAGCTACTCAGGAGGCTGAGGCACGAGAATCACTTGAACCCAGGAGGCGGAGGTTGCAGTGAGCTGAGATCGCGCCACTGCACTCTGGCCTGGGCAAAAGAATAAGACTCTGTCTCAAAAAAAAAAAAAAAAAAAAAAAAAAAAAGAAGAAGAAAAAAAAGAAAAAGAAAATGTTCTCTGACAGAGGAAGAGAAGACTTAAAAAGAAAAAAAATTCCTTACTTCTGGAAAATCTGAAACAGATTTGTGTAATGCAAATCTTCAGTCTACCCTCACAAAAGTGCAACATAGATTTTACTTCTGCTACAGTGCAGTAGAGACCATGTGATATGAAATATCCATTGGCCAAAAGGTATCAACTTTTTTTTTTTTTTTTCAGTCACCCAGACCGGAGCGAAGTGGTGCAATCTCGGCTCAATGCAACTTCTGCCTCCTGGGTTCAAGTGATTCTCCTGCCTCAGCCTCCTGAGTAGCTGGGATTACAGGGGTGCACTACCACGCCTGGTTAATTTTTGTATTTTTGGTAGAGACGGATTTCACCATGTTGTCCAGGCTGCTCTCAAACTCCTAACCTCAAGTGATCTGCCTGCCTCGCCCTCCCAAAGTGCTGGGATTACAGGCATGAGCTACCCGCCAAGGTATCAACTTCTTTAATAAAATAAGATCACAGAGGGCTAGTGTCTGATCACCAGACCTCAAAGCATGCCTAAAGCTGTGGATCTGCTGCTTGCAGAACCTGTACTGCTTTTGTGTAAGGTGAACTGTGAGGAGTTACATCTCCATCGTTACTTCTAGGACATCCTCATGTTGCTGCACTCTATTTTTCCAGGAGAAAGAATAAGACAAAAATTAGTTAATAATACATTGCTGATACATTACACATTACAAATACATTCCCTGAGAACTGTGCTGTAAAGTTTAAGGGAAAGAAAAACTATTCAAACTTAAGACTTTTAAATTTCTGATGAGAAAGTAGTTGATTCTGTAGAGGACAATTTTGAAACGTGTTTTACATTCCTTGTAGACATTTCAGCATCCCAGCTCTGAGCAGGATTGTGGCATTTTAAAGTTATGGCTTCCAGCTAATAACTGGAATGTGCCTTCCTGTTTTTTCCTGTTCTGAAGGAAGAAAGTCACAACTGGGAAGTTACAGGGGCTCTAAAATCATGGGATTGCCCTATATGCTTACAGTATCCCCGACAGTCCAAAGGCCAGAGCTTCTCTGCTGTGGAGTCAGGTAAATTCATGCTAAGGGAAAATGCAAAAAAATGTACTGCCCCTCCGCCGTCTCCTCTCAGTGAGGACTTACGGGAGTTAGAAGCATCTGGAAGGTGGAAATCTGGATTGGCTATCTTTTCAAAAAGATTTCCTCGTATTAAATTAATTATTGTAGCTCCAATTTTCATCTCAAAAATCTTACATACATAACCTTCTATACACAAAAATCTTACATAATTGGGCAAGAGGCATTGGCAGTTAACAAGTTGATACGAAACCATGGAAAGAAAGTGTGGAACAACCAAGGGAATTATTTTAAAGTGCTGTGCTGCTTTTGCTGTTTCTTTTCAAGTAGCTTTAAAATCTTGGGAAAATGAAAAAGAAATGAAAGAAGTCTTTAGGCAATTATAACTGGAAATCCTGCAATAATAAAACAAACATTCCTAATTGCCGGTCTTGATCATATTATATGGATGAAGTCTACATGCAGATTCCATATGACAGACAAAACATTGATGAGGAATATTTGGAAATATGATTTTGGGGTGGGTATTTGACATATATCTCCCTATTTCTTTCAAAACATGAATCACACTCTAAATTCTTTTTTAATACATTCCACATTTGGTAAACCCAAGTCAGCACATTTTAGTTTAGCTTGTGTGTGTGTGTGTGTGTATGTGTGTGACAGAGTCACACCAGCATAAGCCCTCTGCTTTAACCTTTACAAGGAAAGCAATCTTTTTATTATTTATTTTTTTATTTTGAGACGGGAGTCTCACTGTGTTGCCCAGGCTGGAGTGCACTGGTGCAATCTTGGCTCACTGCAACCTCTGCCTCCCAGGTTCAAGCAATTCTCCTGACTCAATCTCCTGAGTAGCTGGGATTACAGGCACCTGCCACCATCGCTGGCTAATTTTTGTATTTTTAGTAGAGAGGGGGTTTCACTGTGTTGGCCAGGTTGGTCTCCAACTCCTGACCTCAGGTGATTCACCCACCTTGGCCTCCCAAAATTCTGAGATTACAGGCATGAGCCACCGCACCTGGCTCAGCACATAAAAAAAATTTGATATATGATACTAATATCACCAAAATGTACTTTGAAAGGGAAATTATAATAAATATTTGACTGGGTGCAGTGGTTCACATCTGTAATCCCAGCACTTTGGGAGGCTGAGACAGAAGGACCGCTTAAGTCCAGGAGTTCGAGACCAGCCTAGGCAACATAGTGAGATTCTGCCTTTAAAAATTTAAAATAAAGTGAGAAATAAATATTTTTAAAATCATATATATTTTGAGCTGTAAAAATATTGTAAATTAACCTTGGGGGAAATATTTTCCTTTAGCATTTTGGTGAAGAAAAGAGGATTCTGTTTCCTGTAGGTTCTATTGAATTCTGGGTCATTATTAGATATGTAAATAGAGCCTGCTCTGGCCCAGACTGTGAAATCAGTTTCAATGGCTCTCTTTCCTCTCCCTCTCTCTCCCACACCCCAGGGCATCTTCTCTAGTCCTTTACAACTGTTTACTGGCCTCTGCCTACAACTCCTCACTTAGGGCTTCATCTTTGGAAGTTTCGTCTTATTTTTGCCCTAGCATATCATGGATACTTACCATCCTTCTGAAGACAGCAGCTCCTACTGCACTTCTGGCCAGTGCTTTCAGAATAATACTTCAAGAACTGGGCTCCCAGCTTCTGAGACTCCTCCAGATTGATTAGAAGACCTGGGAAGCGACGGATCCAGCAATCTCTGTAAAAAACTGTGGGTGAGCAGAGAGAGTCTGACGTCCACCCCATGCTTAGGAGCAATATCACGTTAACTGCTACCACTGCCACGTGCATTTTTCCTGTATGAAGGAAGACTCGAAGATAAGTCTGATTTCCAGACAGAAGCTGAATACCGGAGTTTAGGACAGTCTCTGGAATGTCAGAGGTGTTAAGGGAGAGCTTCCTTGGAGCTTTTCTGGAGAGTCACTTTCTAGAAAAATAAGACCACTCTTTGACTGCATACTGATTTTTCTTTTCTTTCTTCCCGAGCCCCAGGTGAACATTTGATTTGCTGGCATTCTTTCTGAACACTTTCCAGGCTATTTCAATCCCCTGTCCCTTTAGCATCTTAAGACGTGCATTCTCTTTTCTGCTTTTCTTCTTTCTCTGAAAGTGAATAGTCACAGACACCTTTTGCTAAGTAAATATAAAGAAAAGTGGAAACCTTAGTCAAGAGGCTTTCTGAGGGAAACAATAAGTTAGTCACTTGACGTCAGATAAAGGAAGTATCCGTTTCATCATAAACAAGACATGATTTTGTGAGGGCACTTCTGTTTGATTTTTAAAGAACTTGTAACTGCAGGTTGTTTTTTAAAAAATCATCTATATTTCTTTGAATTTAAGTTCTGACATTCAGGTTCACTAAAAAAATTTTTTTGCACTGGTTTGGGTTTTCATTCTTACTTAAAAAAAACCTTGGCCAAGCACAGTGGCTCACACCTGTAATCTCAACACTTTGGGAGGCTGAGGTGGGAGATTGCTTGAGCCTGGGAGGTAGAGGTTGCAGTGAGCCGAGATGACACTACTGTACTCCAGCCTGGGTGACAGAGCGAGACCCTGTCTCAGAAAAACCAAACCAAACAAACAGAAAACACTAGGAAAATGGTGAAATGTTTTAAAAATTTCTAAATAGTAATAAAATCATTTCAATTGCAATGCCCAAACATTTGAAAAGGCAGTGAAAATGAACTCTTGCTTTTGTTAAAGTTATGGGTTTCATATCCTGTGACATCCAAGGTGACAAATTAGTTCAAAGCATAAAACTGTTGCTTTTTTCTATCCAATTTTATATGAAGTATTAGTGATAATCAGCTTTTGGCACAAAGCACTCTACTGTTTCTTTTAAAAAAGAGAAGCTTTCTAATCTGTGATCTGTATTTCTTTTATACCTTTTTATACAATGACTCATTCACCTCCTTGACACAAAAATCGTTAGCATTCTTTGAACATTCATCTCTTCACCTGTTTCCTAATAATAGTCAGTCTAGTTGTTACATATCTTTTTGTTTAGAAACATATAATAATTGATAATGAAAAGGAAAGTAGTTAAGACTGAATAGCTTTAAATATGAAACACTTCATTTTCTTCTGAGCAAAAATTATATTATGCACTAACTCCTAACCTTGCCTAAGCCACACAGAATACACAAAATGATAAATATTTCATTCTAATGAACTTCGTATAGAAAGCAAATTTCAGTTGCTTACCTGCAAAGACTCAGATGATTCCATCTGATCGAAGGGATAGGGAAGAGAGGTTTTATAATGGCAAAGGAAGGAAGAGAAAGGATGAGTAACAAAAAATTACTCTCAATATTTTATGAGATTCCATGGTGATTTCTCTTAGAAAATGCCCTCGAGACATAAACAGGAAAACTCTCTAATCTTATGATTAACTCTCTAATCTTATGATCTTCAAGTCTTTGAGTCATATTAAATATAGGTTCTTTTGTGTGTTACATAATTCCTTGAAGTTCTTGTGTTCCTTTCAGGGATAATGGAATGAGCCACAGTTGTTTAACCCTTTTGCTGTCAGATTATATTTAAATAAAGATCAAAGTTTCATTTTAAAGGATCTACAAGTCTTGGCCAGGTAGGGTGACTAATGCCTATAATCCCAGCACTGTGTAGGGAGGCTGAGGCAGGAGGATTGCTTGGGCCTAGGAGTTCGAGACCAGCCTGGGCAACATAGGGAGACAAGGTCTCTACTGAATGAATAAATAAATAAATAAATAAATAAATAAATAAATAAATAAAGCCCTGCAGGGGCTGGTGCTATTAAGAAACAAAAAAGCAAACAAACAAAGGACCTACAAGTCTCAATGTAAAAGCATGCTTTAAACTTTTTTAAACTTTTTTTTTGGAGATTGCATAAAGTCTGGAAATGGATAGTTTCTTGGGGCCAAGTATTTTAAAAAGAAATGGTAGAAACTGGAAGGCAGAGGTTGAGGGAGGCATCCATAACAATCTCAAAACTTGTCCCTGTGCACTGAAATTGCAGAAACCAGGAAGCAATGCAACTGAATCAAAAGTTGTTATAAGGCCTTGTTATCAAATACCTAGAACCACTACACTGTTGCAATGTGGAATACATTATATTTCTTTCCAATACGGTGCTCTTGCTCTGCAGAGGGGTTCACAAATGTGATATGTACTTTAAAAGTCACTTATCTCTCCCAACAGCCTGATTCAGTAGCTGTTGAGTGGAGAGTGGCCTTCTTATTTTTACAGGAGTCCCAGGTGATTTCCTAAGATGTTTGGGAAACACTGATATAGATAGATGACTGAAATAAATGGAAGTTTTACCTAAACAAGGAGGCTCAACTTGAATTAACTAGAGCCGTCTTAAGACCATGTACTACTTTTATCTCATTTAAATCACTCCATAAGCTTTGATGAAAGGAAGACACTTCAGTTTCGCTTGTTAAAAAACAGAAATAGGACAGGCGTGGTGGCTCACGCCTGTAATCCCAGCACTTTGGGAGGCTGAGATGGGCGGATCACTAGAGGTCAGGAGTTGGAGACAAATGTGGCCAATATGGTGAAACCTCATCACTACTAAAAATACAAAAATTAGCCGGGTGTGGTGGTGCATGCCTGTAATCGCAGCTACTCAGGAGGCTGAGGCAAGAGAATCACTTGAATCTGGGCAGTGGAGGTTGCAGTGAGCCAAGATCGCAACCCTGCACTCCAGCCTGGGAGACACAGCAAGGCTCTGTCTCAAAAAAAAAAAAAAAAAAAAAAAAAAAAAAAAAAATCCAGAAATAAAGTTGTGTTAGGAATATTGAGAAACTGAAAAAAACAAAGAGAAATAATTTTTAAATGGTAGTGAAGTAATAGCATAGCTTTAGTAAATTCAAGACATTTGGAAAACAGTCGATATTTCACCTTTATTTATTTATTTATTTATTTATTTATTTACTTACTTACTTACTTACTTACCTACTTTTTGAGACTGAGTCTCACCCTGTGGCCCAGGCTTGAGGGCAGCGACGCAATCTTGGTTCACTGCAAGCTCCGCCTACCGGGTTCAAGCAATTCTTCCATCTCAGCGTCCCAAGCAGCTGGGATTACAAAAATGCAGCACCATGCCTGGCTAATTTTTGTATTTTTAATAGAGATGGGGTTTTACCATGTTGGCCAGGCTGCTCTTAAACTCCTGACCTTAAGTGATCTGCCTGCCTCAGCCTCCCAAATTGCTGGGATTACAGGCGTGAGCACCGTGCCTGGTCACCTTTATTTTAAAATTGCTAGTTGCTTTATTTACTTATGTTTCCGTTTCATTTGCTGATAAAATTAATAAAAATTATTTTTTAAAAATGGTACCTGAAAACTTTAAATGTTATTTTTTCTTTAAAAATGTTTTTGCTTCTATTAAATTGACATATGGTCACTTTAATTCAAATCATGTAGAAAAATACAAAAAGAGAAACTATTCAAGCACTTACCATCTTAATAAACATCTTTCTGGATATTGCCATTTGACATATGAACTGTCAAAATACAAAATTACAACAAATTTAGTTTAAAGATCTTAATTGACTTTTATTTGTGATTCCAGAATAGGGCAACATCTCATTCTATAAAATCCAATCAACTGAGCAGAGGAGGTGGCTTTGTTGATGGAAAAGACCTGAGGAAAGCAGAAATAGAAAATAAAAAGCAGGGGCCGGGCATGGTGGCTCACATCTGTAACCCCAGCACTTTGGGAGGCTGAGGTGGGTGGATCACGAGGTCAGGAGATCGAGACCATCCTGGCTAACACAGTGAAACCCCGTCTCTACTAAAAATACAAAAAAACTAGCCGGGCGTGGTGGCGGGCACCTGTAATCCCAGCTACTCGGGAGGCTGAGGCAGGAGAATGGCGTGAACCTGGGAGGCAGAGCTTGCAGTGAGCGGAGATTGCGCCACCACACTCCAGCCTGGGCGATAGAGCCAGACTCCCGTCTCAAAATAAATAAATAATAGAAAGATTACTTTCCTTGTAAAGGTTAAAGCAGAGGGCACTGCCTTTTGCTGGCTAAAAGTGGCCTGTCTGGGGATATGGTTATTATCTCTCTCCTGGGTTTTTCAGAGATCAGATACAGATCTTGGTTTTCGCTTGGTGGCATCATGGAACATCACCATGAGTAACTCCATTTTGGTTTCATCTGTGGGGCTAGTGCAGGAGCTCAGTTCAAACCAATGGTCTTGGCTGGTGCGGTGGCTCACACCTATAATCCCCACACTTTGTAAGGTTGAAGAGGGAGAATTGCTTTGAGCTAGGAGTTTTGAGATCAGCCTGGACAACACAGGGAAAGCCTGTCTCTACAAAATTAAAAAAAATTAGCCAGGTTGAGGTGGGGCCCATGAGGTTGAGGCTGCAGTGAGCTGTGGTTGTGCTACTGCACTCCAACTTGGGCAACAGAGCAAGACCTTGTTTCAAATAAATAATAAACAAACCAATGGTCTACACATTTTATTTATGTTTTAATTTATTTTTTAATTTTTTTGTAGAGACGAGGTCTCACTATGTTGCCCAGGCTGGCCTCAAACTCCTGGCCTTATGCAATCCTCCTGCGTTGGCCTCCCAAAGTGCTGGGATTACAGGAATCAGTCACTGCACTGGCCTCCTATAAATTTTATTTAACAGTATATAGATTTACATAAATGAAATCATACTGTTCCAAAATCTGTTTTTTAAAAAACTTAATGTAACAGTATATTTTTCAGCTGGGCGTGGTGGCTCATGCCTGTAACCCCAGCATTTTGGGAGGCCGAGGTGGGTGGATTACCTGAGGTTGGGAGTTCAAGAC